CACAAAAGAAACAAAAGAGATAGACAGGCTGAGGCAGGCTCAGGTCTCTGGAACAATCTGTTGGCGAAGAGAGAGAAAAAAAGGGGGAGTGAAAAGGGAAGTGTTGGGGAGGGAGCGCCACTTTGTGCTAATAAGAAGAGAAGGCACTTCGGGGGAAGAATCGGTGAGGATGTCGGGAAGTGCTGACGACGACGGTGGCAAAGCTGTTATTCGGGGGAGGCTTTCTTCTTCGATGGGGATGAATGGTATCGGGGAGTGAAAAGGCAGGCGCTCAAAATGGAAAGCTTTCTTCCCCAAAGTGGGAAACCTTTAGAGGAAGAGAGACAGAGGAAGATAGAAAGAGGCGACTTCCATGTGTATCGGGCTGCTTAAGAAGAAGAAATAAGAGGTCTGAAAACAGGGGTTATTCCAATAAAACGAAAACGAACACGTGCAATAAAAAAATTGAGCTTGAGGATAAACGGGAAAGAAAATTCTGGCACGAAGTTTGTTAAAGAGAGGCAGCTATAGAAATAGGAAGACAATGAGGAAACTTTCAGATTACAATATGGTATGGTTCCGCAGTTTTCCACTGTTGGAGAGCTACAGCTTCGCCAGGGCCGGAGGTAGGCTCATTTCGTCCCTGTCACTCCTGAGCCGAGATCACGTTCATCAAGCTTCACTTGTCGGATACAGCCGACCGCGATACGTTTTCGGTCGGAGAATGATGTGATGAAAGTGTGTTTTCTGTACTCTTCCTATAAATCCGGCTAAGAGTTCAGCCCATCTCAGTTAGCCTTACTCTGCAGTGTTCTTTGCCCCTTAACACCCAAGGGTGTATACCCAATGGACGCCAATCCCCCACAAAAAAAAAAAAAAACGCACATTCTTGCCTCCTACTTTTATGGGGCTAGAACTCACAAAGTGCTGATGCACTGGCCTGAAAGTTTCCAAGTTGGTATATTGATCTAGCTCCGCCCCCTTCGGAAAGTTTTAGGTATCTAAAATGGTTTTGGAAGTCTTTCCCGAATAGGGCGCATCGCAAGTTTCCTGTGTTTCATCTGGTCTTGCACTGCCTCCGTGAATGGCCCAGCTCTTATCAATCGAAGATGTGATTTCCTGACGTCATCATGGGGCGTCAGATCATGTGACATCCTTATGACGTCGCATGTTGGAACAATCTGTGGCGTCATGATGACGCCACATTGGCACGTCATCGCGTGGTGATATTTTGCATATCTAGTGTAGGCGCCCCTATCACGGGACGCCGAAGCCAAGGGTCAATTTTCGCATTTGACTAGGCCTTCAGGGTTTTCGCCTTGAAAGACTAACATGGGTCAGTGTACTAGCATGACCATAGCTAATTCACATGGTAAAATGGCTTACATAATTGGCTAGTGTACCTGCATGACCATAGCAAATACACGCGGTGAAATGGCTAACAGCGGAGGGTGTACGTGCATGACCATAGCAAATGCACGCGGTAAAATGGCTAACATCGGCTAGTGTACCTGCATGACCGCCGCCAATGCACGCGCTAAAATGGTCAACATCGGCTAGTGTGTTTGCGTGACCACAGCAGATGCGCTCGGTTTCGCTGTAATCCGCCTCGATTACTCTTCTTATCTGTTTGGAAACAAGATAGGGCGGGATGAAATCGTTAATAACTCCGGTGTAGTTGAAATCATCGCTCTTTTAAAGTTTTATTGGTGAGTGTGCGACAGTCAGAGTTGCAGACCTTAACAGAAACGCATAAACCTTATTGTGACAGTTGCGCTTGGTCTAGGAACAGCGGCTTGCTACAATTCGTGTGTCCTCCTCAAGTGTAGACACCATGTAAATTAGAAGTGATTCTGTTAGTTCTCATTGTTATTGCGCCTAACAAAAACACAAATGAGCCCTAAAATTTACACTCTCCCTAAGTCTAGTGTCCTGTGTTTCTTGTTTACAGCTTTTCTCTCCTCCGGATATTTTATTAGGCCGCGATCACATGCATGTGCCAAGTTCGATCCACGCGTCTAAGCTTGATTCAGTGTTCTCTTAGTCTAAAACGAGGCAAGAATGTTCGCGACGAATATTTAAACAATTTAAAATTTTGTTCACTATTCGCGTTGGTATTGTACTCATGCAAGCCACCGTATTTTAAGACTGGCAGCCTTCTAACTAAACAGTAAACATTGTTAATGCTGAGTGACTGCTAATAAATCAAACATTTCTTCTTGTGTGCTCGTCTTATGAGAAAAAAATCACTAATTTAATTGTTGAATGAACCAATCGATAAAACAGTGAAGACATGCAGAGGTTTTGTTAGATGTACGTCTTTTCTTTTCTCTTATCTTTAGTCCCAGCTCCGACGCCTCCCATCAAAAAAACGGCTAAAACGTAAAAAAGTGATAAAAAACAAATGACGACAAGCCAGACATTATTAACTTTCCCATGAGGCACGCTACGAGCTAACTTTCATTCTTTCCAGGTGTGTACAGTCGGCTCTTTCTGAACAGGTAATTTTGCTCTCCTCCGCTTCGTTGTTTCGGAAGACAAGAATACGCTAATCGATTAACAATAAATGTGCTTCCGAGATTGTCCTTCATGTATTCTCTTCAGGTCTGGTGCCGTTTGTTCATTTTTATGTTCTTTTTTCATTATTACCGCGATTATATGCTCGGCAACATCCGCTAGCGTTTTCACGTTGCATTCTTATTACTTTTTTTCTTCGATTTGTGTAAACCTGTTTTTATCGTTTGTCACCCCGCCACGCTGGTCTAGTGGCTAAGGTACTCGGCTGCTGACCCGCAGGTCGCGGGATCATATCCCGGCTGTGGCGGCTGCATTTTCGACGAAGGCGAAAATGTTGCAGGCCCTAGTGCTCAGGTGTGGGTGCACGTTAAAAAAACCCCAGGTGGTCGAAATTTCTGGAGTCCTCCACTATACGGCATCTCTCATAATCATATGATGGTTTTGGGACGTTAAACCCCACATATCAATCATCATCAATCAAGAACCACACAGCACGAGCACTCCGCTGTGCATGTGGTTCCTCCTGCGTTCTTTTCTGCGTTCCCACACTCCCAGTTCACTGAATGAATAGCCGTAATTAGAGAGCTGTAGTAAGTCAACCTGTCATCACGGCCGCTTTGTGACACGCTTTGTGACGCGCTGATTTGTGGTTAGTCTCGTGAGCAACCCAAAAACAAGTGGGCAGTGCCAGTACTGTGGGGAAGTGGCCAACATTTACCATATGGTCTGGGCCTGCCAAATGAACCCAAAATTAACCCCCTTTCCCAACCCCACCAAAGATGACTGGGAGACGACCCTACTCAATAGCTTCACACTAGATGAACAGCGAACTCTAGTCCAGCGGGCTCGGGTGGCGGCCTCGACTAATGACGTCCCGGACTAGGGATGTCAACCAGCCCGGTGGGGATAAGGGCTATCTGGCACAGCCAGCATCAATAAAGGTTTTTTCCTCCTCCTCCTCCTCGTGAGCAAGCGCGACGGTGGTCGGCCACGACGTAACGATGACACGGCGAAGCCAATGGCTGGAGGGGTGTCCTTTCAGGACAAAAAGCCGCAGTGCTTCTGGTTTGTAACCCAGTATAGTGACCCCAAGTATTCTGGTGTCGCCACAGTTCCTGTTTGTGGCGACTTGTGTGGAGAAGTCCCGAGCGGCAACAGAAATCGCGTTGTGACACTACGAATTATTCAAGCAAAGGTTTTTTAGACTGTTTTTAGGAAATGTGTACAACAATTTCTAGTATTTACTACTCAACTATAAGGGAGAGCAGTGAACCGTCCCGATATCTGTGTGCGACGAAAGCGTGTCTAGAAAAAGTGTACAATGAACTAGTACTTGACACTCCACTATGGAAGAGCAGAAAGCCATCCCTTACCAAAACACCATCGGGTTTGCAGTGTTGCGTCAGAAATGTTGCTGGTACTTACCGTGAAGAAGCGGGTGTATCAAAATGGTGCCCTCAAATGTGCGCTGGTCACTTCAGTATTTGTACGCGCCGTTTTTTAACTATTAATGCTTCATCAATCATGAGCTTATTGGATATCAGCCGTTTTGGATATGGCAGTGACATCTTTTACCGAGGCCACTTGTTATTTCTCGTTGCCACATATTACTGTTGCCTAGATGTGAACGCATGCCCATCGTTATTGCCAGTGAAGTGTTGCGCTGCTAAACATGTGAATGAAGGCCCAATTCCTGTCATGGAGGAAGTAAGGAGAGAACATTGCGCAATTCGTGAGAAGGGAGGTAGCAAGCTCGGTTGTGGTATAGGAAGCCGAAGCGATGCATGGTGGCGCTGCCACTCTAGGCAGGCCGCGCCATCTCTTGTAGAAAATTAGAAATCCAGAATGTGTACCGCATGTTTTTTCTTCTCACCAATGCACTGCGCTTCTTCTCGCTTACATGTTTTTTCTTCTCACCAATGCACTGCACTTCTTCTCACCAATGCAATGCACTTCTTCTCGCTTACGTGCTCATGCAGAGCGCGCGCAGTGTGTTTGAGTCACCTCACAATGTATCGTCTACAGTGCGGTTTCATAAAGATTTCCGAGCTGGACAAGCACTTCCGGTAAGCGAATATGACAAAAGGAGTAAGTCTTGCTAGTCACGTGTATGATGTGGAGCAGATGACAAAAGGCGAGAATGGCGAAACGCATTTCTCAAATCTGCAATAATAGCATGAACGATTAGGCCTCGAGGTAAGTCTCATTCTCGCGATATGAAGCCGCGTACTCTACAGAGTGCAGAAAGGAAGAAGGAAGGAAAAAAAGAAGAGAGAGAGAAAGCTAAGAGGTAGCATTGCGTCACGCGTGAGAAGAAATTCAAGAGGGAGCATTGTGCAATGCTTCAGAAGGAAGAAAATAAGGAAAACTAGGTAGGTCAGGCAAATACACGCTATATTGTCCCAATAAATAATCTTCTGGATTGTATAATAAACGTGTTTTGCCGTTCTACACTCTGCTGTAACATGTGGATGACGTATACAAGACGATAAAAAGACAAGGAATGAAGAAAGTTTCTTTATTAGCGTTATTTATTGTCTTGGTTCGCTCATGTTTATTTGTCGTTGACAACCATGCCCGGAGAGCAAGATAACGTGGCACGTCCGTGTCATTAACTCTCCTCCACACTTATATCTCTTTGTACAAACCTGCGTGAAAATTCTTTAAATACGATGCACGGAAAAATGGATTCTTCAAGACATTGCGCTCATATATACATCTAGCTTTGTACACGAAAACACTACAGAAGTGACGGGAGAGAGGCGCAGACAGCATGCAGGGCGTGAGGGAGCCTAACTTCTCCACTGCACAATTTTTCATTTAGCGTGGGGTGTGCCCTCAAAGCCGGTTCATGACTTCACTTTTAATAATTCCACGATAAAAAAGGTATTATGCATGCTTCATATGTTTTCGTTGAATGGCACATAGAGCCGCCAAGTTACTGTCTTTATATGAAGAGATGAAAAAAAATTTAATAGGGGTGATACTGGCACTGATGTTTCAATGAGTTAGAAGACCACTTGTTTTCAAGACCAGCAAGACACCTTATATTCAAAGATTTCTTATCTCTTTGAAGCTTGCATCGTCCTCTGCTTTGTTTGCTTTTGTATGAATTTCATATGTCACGTAACAACGTTCTCGTATTTCATGAATGGACTCGCCTTAGTTCTTCTTTCCTTCTTTCTTTCACTGAAGTTCTCCCAAATAAAACCGATCAACATAGCTGCCATACTTTGAAATATTGTATACAAATTTGCTATAAGCGCAAGGGCAATGCCCAAATGTAGACATCACACAGGGTGATTTCTATTTTCACCTTCATATCATTCTCATGCTCTATGGTATACCCTTGTATGTTCTGAGCAAATTTTCAGATGAACATGATGCTTGGTATTCGTATATAGCTAATATCTAATAGAAGTTATCAATATTTGGGGCATTTCGGTTCTCGTAAAAATGACGGAAATGAAGAATGCACACCGGCTGAGAGGGAAGGCATTCATAGTCGAAAGAGGTCAACACTGACATATACTCTGGAATCTGTGCAAAAAGTGAACAGAAAAATGTACAGCAATAATATCATTCATAAATAACGTAGGGCACATTTAAGGCTATGGGACTAGGGTGCATGCGGGAAGCGTACAACACCAAACCGCGCTCGCACGCTTCGCAGGAGGAGGCGTACGACGTTTTCCTTTATTTTACACGCAGCTGGGAAGAACGTGGATTTTGCTAGTTTTTTTCGTTGTTCTTGCCTCAAGAAAAAAAAAACGAAGCCACAAGAAGCGATCGCGAAGCATACATACAAGCAATACAGTCGAGACAGGGACCCAAGCAACTTCACAGGTTTTGTTCTGGTGCATCAATCTGTCATGTAAAGAAACATTCTAGCCATACATCAATACAGATATGCCAAAAGGTGCTGGAAACCTCGGTTAACGCTTGTATGTTTCAGAAGCTTGTGTGGAAGCACTGTTATCAGTTCCAGTATGGGTCGAGTCACTTGTGTCTTCCATGCATAACAACAAAAGCAATTTAGGGCTCAGAAACCCTTCCTCAGGACAGATACCGTGTCCTAAAAGTGGGCTCTTCGTATAAGCTCTTCATTATTGATCTTTTGCTAGGCACACTTCATGAGTGCATCATTGATTTTCTGACATTCACAATAAAGAAAAAACGCCGACACTAAAGTAATGTCCCGGTTAATGTAATCCATATCTACTTTTAAATAATTCGCTTCAATTCAACTCTCTGTTTCAAGATGAGTGCATGCACTAAATGTCTAAATAAACGAAATCAAGATTAAGCAGGGATACCGTAGTGAAAGTGTTGAAGCAACTTTAAAACAAGTGTGTGTCATATTTTGTTGGATCGGATGCTTGGATTTTTTTAGAGCCACCGTAGAATGCAACCAAAGGCAGTTTTGTACACTGTACTATAAATCATCCTAAATCATCTAACACTTGTTCTAAACATCGGAACCTAATATAATTGTCCAAATTATTACTTTTACAATAAGACATCACTCTATCATAGAAGACATGAGAGTAAAGTTAGGAGTTTTCAGAGCAGATGTTGCTTCAGATCAAGCACACAATGCATACATTAAAGGAAAATGTTTTCGATACATGAATGCAATATTTTGTCTACTGATTAGCAAGCTTGGACATCACAGCATGTTATGCGATTTCACAAGCATAAAATCCACCGGAAAGTAGCGTCCATACAGGTTTTGTGAAATCGGTCATTGTTGAACTCTCATTGATGTTGTATGCCATGCCAAAGCAATATTCAAATGCAGACCAGTGGCATAAAGCAACCCCAAAACTATGTCTGGCCATTACATTATTATTACCTGGTCACATGTTACTGGACATGACAAGTCTTTGCACAATTACAAGCAGCAAGCAGCTAAAAAGTTGAAATCTGTCTCCTGGTCACAATTCTAGCTAGTAAACATAGAATTTCCCACCTGTATCCCGTGACGCCTAGAAGTTGCGAAATCAGTTATAAAACAATAATTACTAGTGACACTGCCTCTGCGCACAGCTAATATAATTACTAGCAGAATAGGGTTCGCCTACAGCCTGTTTACATGGCTAGTAGGTCGAAATTTCTGTTTACAGACATTTCTACAACGGGAACACGTCAAGCTCAACACCACAGTACAGGCGGTCCTCCAAATGTTCCTCTTAGCAAACACCTTTCACATACTGAAGACGACGTGTCGATGAACCATTCAGACGGCTGCAAGACGTAAATGCACGTTCAGAAGCGAGTTTCGTGACACTCTCCACCATAACTCCAAAAGAAAGTTTTCCTTCAAGCAAACACCTTCTCCCAATCAAACATCACGTTGTTAATCCCTACACTGTCGTGACGGCTAAAAGCCCGAAAGCCTTGTCCCCGATGACGCCAACCACAGGACTCCGGCTGACGGCGATACCTCACGCTTCTTTCGAGATGCCTGCGCTTGTGGTGGACCTCTTGGTGCCAGAACCTTCATGCGCCTCCTTGAGGATGGCCATCTTGAGCTTCAACATCATCTCCTTCTTCTTGCGGTCACGGGCCTTCTCGAGGTGCCTCTTCCTCTCCTCCTTGGTCCAGTATTTTCCAGTCTTCAACTCCGAGTGGTTGTCGTCATCTGTCGTCAGACCGCTCCGCTCTTCGAGGATCTTCTGCTCGCGTTCCTTCAGCAGCTTCGTCCTGGCAGGCCTCCTGGTAATGTACCGCGTCCCGTCGGCCCTCCTCTTCACCTTCCACTGGGACTTGAGGTCCGTTTCGTCACCGCCATGTTCACCACCACCACCAGTGGTGGCTGAGACCAGTTGGTCTTTCTTTGTCGACGTTGGGGTGGGGAAAGCAGAAGATGACGACGACTTTGTCGCATGGACGCGACCATTGCGTCGCGCCAGGGCTTCACGGAACAGATGTTGCTGCAACCACATGGTATGTTGCAGGTTCTGCTTGTTTGTGTACATGGTCGGGTAGAGGGAGGCATAGTCGGGAACTGAAGAGCCACGGCGGACGCAGGCTGGCTCGCTCACTGTCTTGGGCAGTCGTCGCGGCGACGTGGCGAAGTCTAGGTGACACCGACAGGACTCGCAGCTCGTCAGGCTCTGCATGTCGGAGTCTCGCATCTGCGGCACAAAAAAAAATGTCAGGGCACATTTTTTTTTATTTTTTGTATTTAGGTAGGGTATCTAACTACAAAAGCCTCAGTTGTGCATTAGACGAAATAAGAAACAGCTCTGTGTACAAAACCAGCATTGGTTAATGATGTTCACATAAGTCATTTGTGCTGTTTTCCTTGCTTATACAAATTCTTTGAGAAACGTTGTTGTGATCTCGTATCGGTCAATAATCTGCGGCTATGCATAGCCAAGAACGTACCCACACGAGTAATTAAGTAACGATCAAATGTACAAGTTAAACTTACATGACACACTCTCAATGATCACTTGCGAGAAAATTACTTTGAAGAAATGACGCAACGTGATTTGGTCAAAGTAAATATAACACGCAAACACTAACGGATATCTAAGTAGTGAATAACAAACAGGAACACGGAACAACAAAATAGCTCAAATGTCAGAATTATTATAGAAACGGACGTGCGTCATCCTTCACCCGTACCTGAGTTGACTTGTCCTCGGTGGGTCCCGTACCGTGTCCCGCGGACCCTGCGGTGGCGCCTGTCCTCGTCATGGGAGGCAGTGAAGTATATACGGGTGTTGACATCGGGGCACCTGCTAAGGACAGCAGGGAACCGGACCTCCCACCGAGCTCGAGGGTGGGCGGGGAAGCGGACGAAGATCCGCCCGTGTGGTAGGCGCTGGAACCGCTGTCGGCCGCGTCCCACTTCTGCGGTGACGTGGGCAGCCCCGAAGAACCCTGGTGTAGCCACTGCTCAACCGAGGCGGCCTTCTTGTCCAGAATGACCCTCTGGAACTCGTTGGCCAGAACACTCATTTCGAGGTCGTTGTCCGGCAGCGGCGTGCCCACCTGCGCAAGGACGAGTACGTATACACCGCATTAGGATGTAAGACTGGGGCAAGTTGTTTAAGGTTCGTACTTTGGTGGCATTGAGCATGCTCACAGGTGGTTGGTTTTCGTGCGTCATTTCAATTGCCTCGTCGTTTGATCGTCTTAGTCCCGTGTTCCCATTTTTTATGCTGCTTTAAACAATGAACGCTTTGTGTCACAGCTAGCAGAGTACTGTTTACTCATTTCACGAGAATAACAGCTGAAAAAAGTAAGTGGCTCTCTTATTTCGTAAAAAGTGGCGAAAAAACCGGTAGTTCGATAGGCTTTCTTGCTGAAGTACGTGGCAACAGACGCTGCATTGGTAACTGTATTGGTAAACAAACTGCATTGAAATTTTGAGCGCAGAAAGTATGTAAAGTATAGCAAGTCGACCTTCAGAACTGCACACAGAAAAAAAAACATACATGTAGGGTATTTTACAAACTTCAATAAGATGCACAGAAACAGATAATTTCGAAGTTGAATGCGGTTGAGTGTGTGGTGTGTGACAACATTATGCGCTTATGAATATGTTGGGAGGTGTAAATAAATCTTTTGAGTTGGTCTATCATGTACCTGAGTTTCAGTTTCCGACAACTCTTCTTGAAAGCTTGTCTGCAGTAGAGCATCAGTCTTGTTTGGTGTAGTAGCGGCATCTTTCTCATTGCCCTCTTCATCTTCATCTTCTTCCTAGGGTAAAAATGTACAGGAGCAAAAAGATACCGTACTTCATGTGATTGACGCGTTATATTCAACACGATTTGAGACTAGCAGCTAGCTGTGGTTACTGTTGGGAAACGCTTCGCAATTCCTGTTTCTATTTTGTATGTACCCAATTCATAGATGTGCGTTTCATAATAACTAGTTTTGTTAAGTTTAGTACATTGATATTGTTTGCTTGATATGTTAACCAAACTATCAACTCGGTACTGGTTGAAGAAACATGAAAACATACAGTCTACAAAATCAAGATAAGACTTCGTAATAGCAAATCGCAAGTTATTGAATGCGTCATTGAATGAAATGTTTTCATTGCACTTAAGCGCAGGAACCCGGGTTCAATCCAACTTCAGACCCAGAACGTTTTTTTTTTATTTGCACTTTTCCTAAGTATTCGGTCACTCAAAGATGCTCGATTTATTGCTCACGCAAAAATGCTCAATTTTTTGGTAACAAAAAGATGATTTTCCGCTCCCAACTAACGCCGCCAACGCCACAATTTCTGCAAAACACGCTCTTTAACGCTATCGCGTTAAAACCTGCTCTACAAATGTTCAAAGCAGATGTACTGGTTAGAATTGCATAATAAAAAAAACGTTACCGTAACACAATGCTTGGTAAAAAAAATGCACCATGACAAGAAATGCACATCGATTTCACGTAGCATACAGAATAATATTTAATTGCCGTACTTATTCTCTGCAATTGTCATTTTCCCGTGTTAACGACTTCTATGACTCGGTTATAAGCATGCATGCCCGGCAGAATACAATTGGATGAACAGTATTGAGCTTCAACGGCCTTTACTTCCCCTCTCAAACTTCAGAAAAAAAGGGTGGTAAAAGGCAGCTGAAGCTAAATACCATCCTTCTTTCATGAAGTTTGAGAGGGGAAGTAAACTTCCCAGATGAGAAAAACTAAACAGTGTAAATCTGAGTGTCCTTATATATAACACAATTTTTTTGTCCCACGTCAATTACCAAAGCAAAATAAAAATCTCAACTTGGAACGAAAATAGCAAAACAAATAAACACAAAATAAATTCACAAACCAGAACAGAACTGTATCGGCGGCGAGGCAGAGAAAAGTTGGAGTGGTCCTCACTACAGGACCCTTCCTGCAGGGAGCAATCAAAGCAGAACGATGAAACACAACAGCCTATATAAGTATCCTATAAGATGCAAAACAAGTATAATAACCAACATAAGGTAATCCCAAACGAAGGCAAGAAGGTGCAGATGGAGGCTTGCGATGAGCAATTAGAAAACAGGGGTTTGGTTTTGAAGTCGAAAATTCAAAGTGTGCACTTTTATTTGCCATTTACTCATGTCGCGCCCTTGACAAACACAGGTCCACTTCCGAAAACGTCGGCTCTGGCAACAACTTCCTGTTCATGAATTTCTCAACGTGAGGGTACGTCAGACGCAAACATTATTTTGCTCGGCAGCAAGAGAAAGCATAAAATACATCATAGAAACCTATTAGATTATATATTCCAACTAAAGAAAGCGTAGGCAAAATTAATACATGTCTTCAACTGAGGTGTACAAGCAATTTAATGAAAAAAAACACGAATTAAGCCCGTCAATGCGTAAACTCGAATGTAACGGGCCGTTCCCAGGTTACAGAAGGGCTTAGCCTATCAGTCCTTTTGCAGACACGTTGGGCTGTTCATACGTGTTCTTCTGAATTCGGACAAGCATAGCGCAGCATCCCACTTATACACGGACCAAGTCACGCATTGATCAAGTCGAACCGTAATGACGTAAGTAAAACAAAAGTCACAGTTTCGCCGAAACGGCAAAGCAATAAATGCGATAACAACGCATTCGACTGCTTTGCGAAGCAAGGCTAGCGTTTGCAATAGCAATAATAATTGTAGTAAACATGCGCTTGTGGAGCAGCCAAGTTTTCTGTGGCGCGGCCGTGTAGATGACCACAAAAGGCTCGTACATAGTGACGGTGTTGATGAGAAGCGCCTCCCGTAGTGAGCGTATGCATACCGTGTTGCGCTGGTGGCAGTTTATATGTATATAGAGCACATCTATATGTGTAGGCCGCTCCAGGTACACTTTTGGTACCGTTTTGTTTTTTTATAGCACCATCCGTAGAAGCTCCCGCCTGCGGCGGGGGCAAGAGCCGCCCGCTGATCGTTGCCGCGATAGCACGGCAGGAAATCATAAACGCCTCCCCCCCCCCCCCCCCTGTTCACTCACGAGATAAGCGCATGGACACCGACGACCCCGGCAGGAAAGGTGATGTTCACTCCGCAGAAAAAGGATATATATATATATATATATATATATATATATATATATATATATATATATATATATATATATATATATATATATATATATATATATATATCATCAGCCTGCCTACGTCCAATGCAGGATGCAGGACAAAGGCCTCTCTCATGTTCCGCCAGTTAACCCGGTCCTGTGCTTGCTGCTGCCAATTTATACCCGCAAATTTCTTGATCTCGTCTGCCCACCTAACCTTCTGTCTCCCCCTAACTCGCTTGTCTTCTCTGCGAATCGAGTTAGTTGCCCTTAACGACCAGCGGTTATCCTGTCTACGCGCTACATGCCCGGCCCATGTCCATTTCTTCTTCTTGATTTCAGCTATGATATCCTTAACCCTCGTTTGTTCCCTAATCCACTCTGCTCTCTTCTTGTCTCTTAAGGTTACACCTACCATTTTTCTTTCCATTGCTCGCTGCGTCGTCCTCAATTTAAGCTGAACCCTCTTTGTAAGTCTCCAGGTTTCTGCTCCGTAGCTAAGTACCGGCAAGATACAGCTGTTATATACCTTCCTCTTGAGGCATAGTGGCAATCCACCTGTCATAACCTGAGAGTGCCTGCCAAATGTGCTCCACCCCATTCCTATTCTTCTAGTTACTTCTATCTCGTGGTTCGGCTCCGCAGTTATTACCTGTCCTAAGTAGACATAGTCGTTTACAACTTGAAGGGCACTATTACCTATCTCGAAGCGCTGCTCTCTCTCTCTTTATATATATATATATATATATGGCGCCGACGCCAAAAAGCAGCCGAGACTGTCTATATATTAGGGGCGAAGCTCCTTAGGGCGTGGGCTGTGCGTCCCCTGTAGCCTGTATGTAGCCACCTCTAGTTTAGTTCTTGCAGTGTTCACTAGATGGCGGTACCGTCCCCTGTATGTAGCCACCTCTAGTTTAGTTCTTGCAGTGTTCACTAGATGGCGGTACCGTCTCCTGTATGTAGCCACCTCTCGTTTAGTTCTTGTAGTGTTTACTAGATGGTGGTACTTGTAGCTGATGATGAAAAGATGCAAGATGTTATAAACTAGAAAGCGGTACTTGTAGTTGATGAAAGACGCGAGATCTTATAAAATAGGAATGATGTCACATATGGCGCGTGTCATTGGTTAAAGGCAATCGTTCGATTTAGTGCGGCGACGTACGCTAGGGGGAGCGTTGTAATAAAATCCGTTCGCTGTTGGCGCGCGCTCGGAGTCGCCGGATGGATAAGGCTGCACAGCGGAGAGAGCGCAAGGCGGCAGCAGCGCGCGCTCGCAGACAGAATCCCGATGTGCGAGCGCGCGAGGCAAGGGACATCGCAAGCCATCCATCGTCTAAGAACAAATAAAAGTTGATTTGTGTATATACACACACAGCGTTTCTCACGTCTTTACATGATGATCGACTGGGCGAATTACACGGAAGATTCACAGTTTACCGATGAATCCCTCCGGAGCTTCGCCCATTCATCATCATTCACCCCGTGAATATGCCGTAATTTTTTTGCTATCAAAATAAAAGTGTACTAAAAGTCTCCTTTTTTTTTTTTGTCGCTGGTATCCACATCTATAAAATTCGTGTGTCGCATAATGCGATACTCAACAAAGTCGAACATTTTGCAGTACGTCCTGGCTCAGTTGTTATTAGCTTCTGACGCATAATTCAAAGGTTGTGGGTTCACATCCCATTGACGAAAAGGTTGAGTTTTCGTCCACTATAAATCATTTCAATCTGAGTCATAACTACTACACAATAGTTAAATACGATGACTAATGTCACCCGTGTTTTCTTTGGCCTAATTGTCAGTTATACACAGTTAATTGTAACAAGCCCCTCCCCCATAAAAAAAACGAGCCCCTAAAAATGAATCTTAGTTTAATATGCAAACTTCGAAGCTCATGTTACCTGGCCACTGCGTGGGAGATACGACGATGTACTCACGGAAACGTGTGTCCTTGCAACGAGCAGCGTAAAGTCGGGCCTCTGTTCCGAAAACAAGACTATTGCCTGATCCCGGCCTAGGACGTCCGTTCCATTAACCTGTAAAGATGGACAAAAGGAGTCGCAGACACCCCACGATGAACCTAGGTGTGAATTCCGTGTCGTTAGTTTTTCGCGCACATTCCGTGGAACTTTGGCAGATACACGATAAGTAGTGCTAACTTCAGACCAAGGTTCGATTCCGGGGTACATGGAGCAGTTCGTTTCAAGCGCTACATTTCATGCTTTGGGCAGTATAATGTATATTAGGAAATAAATACGTCAGAAGAGTTATGCACACTTTCGACATTGGTTTGGTGCAAGTATCCGTACCTTTAGAGCAGAGAGCAAAACATGCCTCACAGTTTTTGAAGCTAGAAGCATCACTGATGTAATATATTATTATCTATTATTTAAAAAATTAAACGGACAACAATCAATGTTAATTGCAAGTAACTAAGAATTGAAAAAAAATTGGTTGACAACGGGATAAGACATGTAATTGAACGCGATAGGCTTTGTAATTGAAATGCTATTTCGGCCATTTTTATACTTGATCAAAATTCTGCATGTATATAGAAAAAACTGCCAAATGGTCCAAATGCTTCATAGTCAAGTTCTTGTTGCATAGATGAATTAAGAGCCAATAAAGCTGCATGCCAACCACGATGATACTAACATACAATAACAGTGGTATAAACTAGTTGTTTTCAGTTTACTGTGAGCTTGCCCTTTCGTCACACGGTTAAAGTTTCTCATTTTCATTTGCTTAGCGCCGTTTATGAGCGGTGTCGGAGCAAACGCTCACAAAAAGCATAGTTTGGACCAGCGTTTAGCAGCAGTTCTGCTTTGGAGCAGTGTGGAGCGAATCGAGTCAACTTTTCCCGTCTCTGTGTAAGTGTTACATGAAAAATATTTGTTGGCATTTTCGCCGCAAGAAATGCGATTTGTCTTTGCTTTATTTGTGAACATGCAGTACATGCCAATTTAAATCTATTCGTTAGTTTTGCTATTGTATACGTACTGTTCGTAACGGTGATGTGTACGTCAAAACGCCGTTATGGATGCTAAATACACAGTGTTAAAACTCTATGCTATCACGCTACTAATCACAGTGTACATTCAAGCTGTATCACATCATTATCAAAGATAGTATTGAATTTGCGTATTACTTACTCCTGAACCCTTTTCTGATGCTAATGCATCTTAGCCTCTTTAGGAAAAAATATGCAAAGAGCTTTCTCACATTCCCTAACGAGAAGAGCAGTGAGCGATGGTCTCTATTTTTCTCACCTGGAGTATTTGGTCGCCTTCTTGTAGTCTGCCGTCTTTCGCAGCGATGCTTCTTGGATCGATCTTCATTAAAAAAAGGAAGAAAAGTCCACGAATAAGATAAAACAAACGTAGTGACTTGACAATTTTTTTCACAATATTAATTTTTGTGCCGAAACTTCGTCTAGAGGTTTGTTTCTATGAAACTTCACTTCTCATCGACAAAGGGTGCGATGAGACATGAGTTATTCTCATCTTCCCCTCACCTCGTCTGAAGCAAACTACCGAGGTAACCTTTAATGAAGTTCATTGATTAATTACCCAAGTGTTTTGTTCTATGGAATCAACTATGTGTAAGAGCTTTACGCATGTTGAGGTGAGCATCCGCTGCTGCGTCCTTAGCTGTTAGGTGTGAATCAGCCTATCAGGGTGACGTGATCACTGAAGATCGCTGAAGTTTGAATAGTTTATAACGTGTTCATAATAATTTTCTTTGAGCACACGTCATTTAGCCTTTTCCTTGCTTTCCCTGCACCCCTTCGTGTCTTGGCATTGGGAAGATTGGCGAGCCTTTTCAGCATCCCGATCCTTCCACTACGATGTCTCTCATCATTACATCGCGTTTTTGAGAGACAAAATCAGCACAAATAATAATGTAATGCTATACATGTACTGCATAAAGGCAGGCTTTCATACTCACCTCGCCTACATAAATTTCCGTCTCTTGCTCATCCGGGTCACCGTAACAGAGCGTAAGCCCCAGCTTCTCGTTTCCGTTTCTGATTAGCGTCACTTCCTGCAGAATGAAATGAGTCGCGTCAATTATTCAATTACTGAAACGTAAAAAGAGTCGATAGTTGATGCACACTAATAATTGAATAATTCCACTACACTGAATGTATTTTCAGTCAGCAGACTGTGGCAGCGTTTCCTTATTCTGTCACAGTGTCACTGCAAGAGGGGGCATCCAGTGTATGTATTCGTCTAGTCGGAAATAGGCAAATGGCTGGGCGGCAATGCAATAACTTCTACAGGTACAAATCGGAAAGAAAACGGTTATGAAAGAGCGCGAGATTTAATAATTTTAAACAAAAGTAACGATATCGATTGTGACATTCATTCTTTCTTTCTAACTTCCTTTTTTTCTTTCTTTCTTTCTCTTTCCTCCTTTTTTTTTCTTTTTTGTCCCTTTCATCGACGAAAGGCAAGGCAGAGGGTTATAAAGCAAGACGAAGAAAAACAAAACCGAAGCATGAAAAGAGCACAATTTTGGGGATGAATTGAATAGCAGCAATTGTGAAATGAAAAGAAAATTAGTTAGAATGGATGTAAAAAACAACTTGTCGCGGTGCTAGGAAGCGTATCCTTCATTCGCTTCGCACGCAGACGGTGCTTCTGTGAGATTGGTCCTCTTTCCACTTTTTCTGGCTGTGCATGCACGTGTAAAGTTTCGTATCATAAGAAACATAGAAAGGCGTGTAATAGTGTTTTGCCTTTCGTTGACTTCTCTAAGACGCTTGGCGCTATAATCAACGAGATTAAGCTATTTATGCACTAATATTATCATACGTACCTCATATTCAATGTCGTATCCGTCGTCATCATCTTGGTCTTCGTTCCTACTTGGGGGACTAAGTGGAGGAGGTGGTATGCTCAGCCTGAAAAGAAAAAAAAAAGAAAGTGAGAGTAATTGTAAGCCCCGGTATTTAGGGAGCGAAGGAGCATACCCCCCCCCCCCCCCTGCATAAGATGCTCTCCATCTAAAACGAATTCTGGGAACAAATAACATCCCCGTGAAAAATTTGGCCCACATATTGCATATCAGCGCAGCTCGTAGAGTTTACAAGGGAATAGCGACGCCACCACTTTCTCTGAAATTTGTCCTCTCTTCATACACAGGCGTCATGCTCACTCACTCCGGTGGACAGTGCGCCATCTGTTATGCCGTTAAGTCATTGAGAAACATACTTACATAAAGAGCGGACACTCCCATGGGGCCCTGTTGCCCAGTTACTGCGCTGCTTAAGGAATACATCTACAGCACATCTAAACCACATGAATGTGTACCCTTTGTGCAAAATAAATGCAGAAAAACAACACTTTATTGTCAAACTTCACCGATTTTCGTAGTAAGGCATTAAACGTCCTCAGTGAGACACGTTGTAAAGCAGATCTGGAAAATTGCACAAATCAATCGAGTTTCTTCTTTGCAAAAATTCGATGCCAAACGTATGCCTTCATTGACTTCCTGAGGCGGCTATGATGTGCCGTCACAGAAAAATGGAAACGAGCATGGGTGCGCCATCTAGCGGTTGGTCAGAGTTTATCTTGCTGGGCCGCGAAGAGGCTCGAGTGGCCACACTTTATATAGTATGTTTCGCTATGTTTAAGCAACAGACTGCAGCTGGGTGTTGCTAGCTGACATAAATAAGGAGCGGCGCTTGGATTATACGCGGCGCTTCCTGCCACGTGGTATTTCCACCTGCCAGCTTGGCAACTTTAGTGCGCACAGGAACCGCAACAGCAGTGCGAGTGTGTTGACTGACGCGTGCCCAGGATCATGAAGCAAGCTGGCGTAGCTTCCTTGCCCTCTATCGTCCCTCCCTTTGTAGATTCCGGCCCACTCGTATAGACGAGGGAAGGGAGAAAGCGCTTTAAGAGTGTCAATAATTTAAAATGTCACCAATTAAGGGGGACACCGATTTAGCGTGCGACCAAATAAGTGTGCTACAAATTACGTGTGCGACCCATCAGGTATGCAACGAATTCAAAGTTGCGAGAAACAAGAGTGTTTGAAGGAATAGAGAAATTTTTCTGGCAATTGGTTTGTGAGGCGAAAACGTAAAGATTTCCTTACGGTTTCACCCAAGCAATAAGAAGGCTAAAGCCATCCTTTTTCTTACTACTTCGTATTCAATTGATTCTCTCTCGCTTATGAAAGCATTCTGCACATAACGTCGCTTTTCCGTCACTCTTGTATCGGAGGCATTGCAGATTTCTGCACTTCGTGCCGTTTTGTGGCACTGCCGCCATGATAGGCCCACGTTTGATCAAGTGACAAAGTCACCTGGTGACTATCATGTTAGGTGGTGGCATTAATTTATGCAACGTCTGACGGTATGATGACATCATCATGGAGTAATTTATGGTCCCGTGACGTTTTGTAAAGCCCGCGTTAATGTAAACGCCGATGGTCACTCATTGCTTCCGATGAGGCCCACTAAGCGGATAGAATGACACCTACACTACTGAGGCAATTTGGTGGTTAATTAGAAATGTGGTTTACAGCCTATTTAAGAGTTCTTCTCATGTGTCCCATTATCGACGGAAACACGTACCCGTTTGGAAGGAGCGAGCCTTCCCATGGCTGCGGTGCCCACCAGGGGAACTCTGTCTGAGCCGCGGCGTCCATGTAGCTCTGGGAGAAACCGGAAGGCGAAGGAACGGCTGCCTGCTTAGCGGCACGCCCTCCTGCGCAGCTACTTCCGCTTCCACCGAAGTCCGACGAGCTGCTTCCGGTTCCGCTGCGTCGCTCCCTGCGCAGCACCTCGACTACGGATGGGCTCGGATGCGGCGCGAAACGCCGCGACTGCCTCCTCGTGCGACGCGTTCGAGACGTCTCGGCCGTTCACCTGCTGCAGGTAAAAGTAATAATTATTTATTACCATTATCATCGCCTTCATCATCGTAATTCATTAACCATGTAAGGACCCTTGCAGTTATTACGTATAGGGCGAAATGAACCACACGTAACGTTTAGAAATTGTTGGCACATATGTGTCACGTAAAATTCGATGTTTCGATGAAAGCTTGTTTGGTTGGGAGGAGTCGTAACAAATAAAAACACAATAAATGGCGAACGACAAAAAAGTCGAATTACACGTATTTACTATGCATTAAATTAGGCATGCAGTTTGATACAAATGGACCACGGACAAAATATTTAGTTAACTAATTAACTAATTCAACAAATATTTAAAAATGACAAATGATATACATATACACGCGTTATATACAACATCTGCGTTAACTTCGAATCTCCGTATGGGTTATAAATTTAAAACGAGGAGTTCGTATGTGTTATAAGTTTGCCCTATCTATGCCGCGTCAAAACATGGCCACTCAGTATGATAAGTTTTCTGTGCAATTCTAGTATTATCCCTTATTGCATCATCAGTTTACCGCTAACCGCTATCGAATAGGACAGCCATTTCTCAAAAGCGCAAGGTTTAATTTTGCGTTTTTCACACTGCGTTTTGTTTATTTTAACCTGATAATACGAACAGACCCACCTATGAATCTACGAAACTCCAGCGTCGTGTCCTAGCACAGTACCATCCCCGCAGTGTATATACTGCAAGCCATGCATGCCGCATATTATGCACGGGCATTGCATCCTAGACATTGTGTTGTCGTATCTTCCGCCATTGCATTCTAGTCATTGTCACGCTGTGAACATCGCCATTGTATTGTTGTAGCCAACGTGATCTTAAATGAGGGTGCATACAGTACTCCCCCCCCTCCCCTCACCGATATTGATTCGTAGGCCATGTAGCATTTTGCCCATTGCCATTGCATTGTTGCATCCTACCTAGCATTAACAAGTAGAGTGAAAGCAGTAGTGTACGTTTGGTCAGCATCACTAATATTTTTCTAAACCTATAAAGAAAATACAGCCACAAAATTTTGTTTAAACTATGTTGATGCCATAGCGAAAAAAAAACGAAAAAAAAATGAATTGGCAAGACCGCAAATGAATGAAGGGTGACGAAGCACGGCGCTGGTATACTTGTCTGATCTTATGGCGTAAAGATGGCGCCACCCATTAAAATTCTGCATTTGAAGCGATTGGGCTTCGTATCAATTTTATGATAGTTGCTATGCATGTTTCTTGAATGGAGAGAATAACCGGGAGCTCCTGATCGAATAAAATAAAAGAAAGAGAGGGTTCCGCATTCTTTACTCCGCGACCTTCTGCTGCCGTTTTTTTTTTTTTGTTTAGGTTTGCGGAAATCGTAGACACCCGAAACGGCAGCGTCACTGCTTTGACGCATTTCGCCGATTCGCCGTCATCCGATCTCGCTCGGCACGCAGACTCGGCAGACGGTGCTCTGAAGCGAAAGGCTTAGCCCGTTGCGAACGCGCCTGAGCCAGCAAACAGAGAGATACACCTGAAAAGCGAAAAAAAAAAAGCAACGGCGACAACATTGAACAGGAGTGATGGTCGTACTATCAGGTATTGCCAGCGGCAAAAAAGAAACTTAGTAAACAGAAAAAGGACTATTTATAAATGATAAAAGGCTGTCCTGGAGATACCAGAAAGGACGTACTTTGGCCTATCGCACAGTAGAAGGGAAGAGCTTCTCTGAAGCCAGAAACAAGGAAAAAAGAACTTCGATGTTATAAACACTGAACGTGCTGGTTTCAGCAAAATGACTGAGTCACAATAGCGGGAAATGGGAAGAAGTGGCGTGTGAATTGTAAAAAAAATAATAAGAACAGTGCAGTCATGTCTGCGAAATTAGCTTTTGAGGGGTAAAAAAGGTTTTTTTTTTTTGTTTCAGCGTCGTTTTCGAAAATGCAGCGTCACCAGCATGAAAGTGTGCCTTCTTTTTTCTTTTCAGTAAAGAGGCGTAAACGGCTCAAGAGAAATAACAATGCGAGACTCTCACTGGTTTCAGATTTAAATACAAAATATACGCAAGTGCGCAATGTCCGTACTAACAAAGGTGAGGTAAAGTAAAAAAATGACACTATCAAACCAAATGGAAGCAAGAAAGACACATGACAACGCTTCCTGTGAAGGGTGAGAAAGAAAAAGTATTGAGAAATAAGAAAAATGTGAAGGGAAGAGTGGCTTGCATGCGGACACTCGAATATGCCAAAGATGAAAAGGGATGAGGCGACAGAGAGAGAGTGTGTATGTGTCCTTAATGGCAGAGGACATACACATGGTGGCTGTCAGCGTCAGTGGCGTACGTGTGCCATCTTCGGGCAAGCGAATTGAAAAAGAAGACTCGGTGGCGACACAAAGAAAAATTGCGCGAGAATGTCGAGTAGTACACAAAACGATCTGCTAAGTGTAGAAATCCTTCTTTGTAAGAGGCCCGTGCTAAGCTAGGGGAGTTGCCTGAAGCGCAGGAAAAGAATTGCGTTGGTTGCTGCACATTTGTCTTTTTGTGGGGAATATCTATCTATCTATCTATCTATCTATCTATCTATCTATCTATCTATCTATCTATCTATCTATCTATCTATCTATCTATCTATCTATCTATCTATCTATCTATCCATCCATCCGTCTATCTATCTATCTATCTATCTATCTATCTATCTATCTATCTATCTATCTATCTATCTATCTATCTATCTATCTATCTATCTATCTATTTGAAAATGAAACAAATTTAGATACTATGTCGACATTGATATGCAGATTGGAGCCATTTCACCTTGTGAATAGGGAAGAGTGGTGCTGTCGAGAGCACTTCAGCATTTGCTGTCCATGAGCATTTTTCACAAGCACGCAGCATTATTCACTTTTTATCACAACGAGCGGTCCATCCGTGCTTGTCCCACATGACCAAGTCAGCACAGCGCTTACACTCGACTGACGCGGCGTAAGAACGTAGTAAAGGCCTACATATACACTACAGCTTTCTGCATAGCCTTCCGCAATCGACCCTGGATGAACTTCTTCAGCTATCGGCCCACCAATTGACTGATCGGCAATGTCAATCGATAACAGGATCACGTGATGCTAGTACAGCTACGTCATCGTGAAACCTTACGAAGACGTCACAGATTTTTTGAAATCTGTGACGACCGGATATTGTGGCTATATGGTCATTTCACGATGTAGTGTTAGTATGCGTGAATGGCATAGGTAGATGTGCGCATATAGTGCGGTAGTTCTGGATACTCACATATTTCTGCAATCTTTGACATCGTTCCGACGTCACGTGATTGCGTCCTTACATGATATCATCCCTTCCACGTAGGATAACCCATAGTTTATTGTTTGTGGACGGGCGTAGACAGACGCCGCAAACTAAAAAAAAAGTGTACCACTTGTTGTTCTGCTTTAAACAAAAGGAAAACAACAACAAAGCTGCTGCTGTGATTAAGAGGAGTGAAGTGCTTTCAACAGGCAGGCGAATGATGCTTTTTGATTAGCGGAAATGGCCATGGCAGCCTCCGTTTGAACTCGTATGGAACAACGAGACGAAACGGCCTATTCTTGGTCCGTATAGTGAAAGAGTATAGATAACGTAGAAAAGGCGACCACAGTCTCTAGGCGGTGAAAAATTCGAGGTGGGCTGCATACAATGGGGATGGCTTAGAGGACCTCTAATGATGGTGCTGACTTGTGCACGGGCTGCTTGAAGATTCCGCTGGGCCCCGAATGAAAAAAAAAATGCAGATGAGGCAGGTTTCAGATGGTGAAAAAATTCGTAAACGCAAAGTATCAGAAAGAAAGAAAGAAACAATTTTCTCGCTCGACTCTTGGAACTTGCCTTTGCGTGCAGAACGCCGAAGTTTTTTTTTTTTACTTTGGTAAAGTACATTACCGTGTCTTTTTGTCCAATGTTCTGGAAGCCCTTTCCTTCTTTCTTTCTCTCTTTCTTTCTTTCTTTCTTTCTTTCTCTCTCTTTATTTTTTCTTTATTTCTTCTTTACTTAATCATTTATTATTTTTGTTGCTTGCTTTCTTTATGTATTCTGGGGAAGGAGAGAAACAAATACCCATATGATAGAAGACTTGGGCACTGCACCTTCGAAGTAAACAAAATCTGTCACGCATACTAATATATCCTGTTGTAGTATTATTCCATATTTAAAGATGTCGCTCTGTTGGTATGATACATGTCTTCTCATGAGCCCGAGATATACGCGAATTGTTTGTAGTAGTCCTACGTTGTCCTCATACACAACCGCAGTTGGCTTTGCCTTTGTGATATGCTTATAAAGGTGAAGCACGCTTTACAGGTAACACACACACACACACACACACACACACATTGTCACACTTATATATCCAAAGGCAGGATTGAATGAAGAGGTGATGAATGAGCGTAGAGCGGCTTTGGCCAATTTCACACGTAGGGTTAGGCACTGTCACTAATGCTCAATAACGATAACACCACTGACTTCAATTATTCTCCTTATTGTCGTAACATTGCGGTATTTTTCCTGCACTGTGACGTACACCCTTCGTTGACCGATTCTCAGCTAACAGTACGCCTTATATGAACAGGGTCCAACCTCACCCATTGTGACAATTTCGTACATCCCGCCTCATTCGTGTATGGCTCTGGAATGCCCATAAACAGCATTACCAGCACGGACAAAAAAAAGGAGCGGGATAACAGTGATGAAAAATAAACGCCACTCTCGTTATCAATCACACGAGTTATTGAGAGTCTCACTGCTAAATTGTGGCTCTTCTTATTTCGACGTCGGCGATGGAAAGAAGTTCGCGAGAGCTTTCATTACTTCTAATATATTACCGCCTTTTCTTTGGCTTCCGGGCTTTCACTCGAACAGTCATGCTGGCAAGGCGATAACAGGGGAGTACAAGGGAACGGTATGTTTAATGGAGAATAAGAAGGGGGGGGGGGGGGACAGGCTGCGAGCGTCCATTAAGAGTAAGCCCAGAAAGTGCGCGT